GCATATTTGCTGGGCATGTGAAAATCTGTAGCATGAGGAGCAGTGCTTGAATCTAAGAGAACTGAATGAATCCATAGCAGCAAAAACTAAAATTCAAAGACACAGTTACAAAAGACAGATAATTATGTCCATATCTACTGACTGACTAAACTTTACAACCATTACAGCTAAGAACTTGTATAAAAAGGCTGGCAGTCTTTCAGACAGTCAGGGCTCCGTCACCAGGCTGTTAAGCAGAGACAGGCACTAAATGGTAGCCAGTGTGCTTCACCATTTCACAAGGGTGCATAAGGACCATCAGCGCAATGTGCATATGATCAATGATTGAAAAGAGAACGTGGAATTATTTCATCACAATTTTAACTGTTACGCTCTCTCAAGCTATATTCTACACTTCGAGAAATAAGTAAATCTTATTTTAGATTGTAACCAATCTGAGGCAGGGATTGTTGTTTATAAGACACAGAAATGCTTGAAAATGGGATAAAACCAGAAGCTTCAAAATAAAAGCAGCTACTGTGTACAATTTTGGGGGGTTTCCCCCTAGTTAAGTTGTAATTTCTCTCAATTAAGTTTTGCCTAGAAATACTAATATCATTTGCTCAGATACAGCAGAACACTTGGTACTTCCTTATCTGCTGAATCAAAATAAGAGCTATGAGAAAAGGGAGAAAAATGCCAAATATGGCAGAAGCACTGTGTTTCAATGTTGAGAAAACCATCTGCTTAGTTCTAAAATCTGATTTTACAGAGTTATAAATACATACGTAACAACCAATTAATAGTCTTATATTGAAGTCTAAATCTGAAAATACATAGAAACTAAACACTGAGAAATCAATAGGCATATTCAGAGTATCCACCAGAAGGGAGTTACATAGCATAATCTTTGCATTGCTGCAAATTTCTGAGCTTTATTGCTGAATAATGAAAAATAGATATAGGGAATATCTATTAAGTTGTATGGTATATCCCCTTGCTACTAAAAGTTTCTTAGCGCAGTAGTTTATAGCATATACATAATATGTTGACATATTAATTCATTGTATCAAACTACAGCAATAACAACTGCTGGTGCCTTTTGGTGGCAAGTCATTGCATGTCATTGTTCAATAGGGGAGCATGGTTTCCTGATAAACTGGAATAGGGATTCAATTACATACCTCCTGAAGAAGGCAGAAAATAGGGTTGAGGCTCCAAATGACTGGCCTTGCCCCTTAACTCTTATACCATGTGCTAGGGATGTCATTGTTTAACTGGCAAAAATCACCCTTACTGGATGTCACTTATTGGTTAACCAACAGCTTGGTGGGGCTGGAGCAATCCGCCACCCGACGCAGGAAGGGGGCTACTTCAGCCCAGACAGGCCCACCGCACTATGGGCAGGAGGAGTGCTCCAGCCTTGCTGGAGCAGCCCATGGCAGGAAGCCACTGCAGCCTGACTGGGGGTCGCTTCAGCCTAGTCAGGCTGGAATTGGCCCTGCCCATCCCATTTAAGCGGCTAACCAGTTAAATGCAATGTTTAACCAGTTAACTGATTAAACGGTATTTTACTTCCCTACCATGTGCAAGTGTTTGGGTGCGAGCAACAGTAATGGGATCAGGCATGGTAGGCATGTGGAATGGACTTAAAAGAAAGGATGCCTTGCATTGGACTAGTTTTTTCCACAGTTTCCAGGTTTGACACTTTTTAAAGTTCTGGGCTGTTTAAACCACAGTTAAACCAACAGTCTTGCCTATCTTCCTTATGTTTCCTGAACAATTGCTATGTCTAACAACTCTATGTAATATGTACAGTATTTTTAAATTTCTGTAAAAAAGTTACATATGTAATGGAAAGCAGGAAGACTGAAGGATGCTTCATCCAATATGTAACCCTCTGATCTAAACCCCTCAGTTGTTCTCTATGGGACAGCTACACCATGTTCTTGAGCCGTCATTAGGACAAACTCCCAATCCAAATTTGAAATCCAAGTGCTAATTTATTATTATAGATTTATGACTGTAATGGGGTCCCCATTCACTACCATGGCACCTCCTCCTAATCACTCAAGGAATTAGCTCATTCCAGCACTGGAACCCCCTCCTCTGGTGATCTCTCACCTTTGATTACCTGCCTTTCTGCCTCCATTATGCCAGGACCTAAGTGCATCCCAGACCTTGGCCTCCTTTTGTGGTTCCCATTCTGGTATTCCTCCCTTCCATGGAACCGGCTATGTCTAATCCCACCATTCGCCTCAGTGACCCAGTGTAACCCTAGTCTAACCCTTTCTCTCCGAAGCAAGCTGCAGTTTGAATTGGCCACTGTCATCATCAACAAGGAGTGATGGACCTGCTGCTTCTGGCTGCCCTATGCAACCCTAATATCAACTTGGTTCCTTTTGTCAGGAGTTAGTCAGACTGGAGCCCTGCTGGCTCCCTTGCCTTTCCCAGCACTGCCCTGTCCATGGTACCAATCCCTTTTAAGCGGCCAGTCCTCTCCCTTGAGCCCTGAGGAGAAACTTAGCTCCCCCTTCCCAGCAGCCCTTCTAGGCTACGGCCTCGCTTGGCCCTAATTGGCTGCCTTCAGCCTCCCTCTGACTCCTACCACAGTCCTCTCCAATGCCTGCTTTAACCCTTTGTTTTCCAGTGCAGGACAATTGTCCCATCACAATGATAGCTACTAATTTGGCAAACAAGTACAACAACAAAAAATTCTGAAAGTGAGAAAGAAGGAAGAACAGTCAACATGAGCCTGTCCAGTATGCAAGCAAAATATGAGGACCTATTTCAAGGAGATGGACCCTAAAGAGCAAGCTGAAAAAACTGACCCGCATGTGTTGCTCATAAAACTGCTGAAACAAAATAAGAGCTACTGTACACCCGCCCATACACACACACTCACTGCTGCGGGTGGGCAGCTGGCAAGCAAGGATCCATCTAGCAGCTGGACCCACCAGAACTGATGGGACGGGGGAGATAAGAAAATACAGGACAACTGGCCCATTTTTTTAAAAAAAGGTAGGGACACTTGGAGGAGGGCTTAAATATGAGATTGTCCCTTTAAAAATGGGACATCTGGTCACCCTATTGTTTAGTGTTTCATTGGTTTGCTTGGTGCCTCCCCTCAGAGGTGTGACGGTATTGTACAGTATTGATACACTATCTCCTGTTCCACAAGAGAATGAGGCATTGACACTTTCAAAGCTTTTTAAAAAAAATCTGAAACAAGAAACAAAGCCATCCATGTTATGCTCTGGAAAAATATGCCTCACTCAGCATATCTGCTGCTGGTAGTGATTTTCCTGTTCAGTATTTAATGTGTATATCAACCTGCTGGAGTCTATAACTTTTTGTTGTCGCTTGGGTGCACTGAGCAATACCTTTTTCAAGATAATTTCTAACAGGTTATGATCAGAATGCATAATTACATTGTGCCCAAAGATGAAATGTTGGTATTGTTCTACTCCACATATCACAGCTCTTGCCTCCTTTTCTATCTGTGCATATCCTTTGTCTGCATCTGCCAGGGCTCTAATAGCAAATCCTGTGGGCTGCTGACTTTGCTGCTCTTAGGCCTCCTCCTAAGGCATTACTCTGAAGCTCTAGCTGCTCTGCAGAACTGTGGTATTTCAGGACTGGTGCTTGCTTATCATTTTCTTTACTCTTTCAAATGTCTATTCTTGACTCTCTCACCATTCCCACCTTGCATAATTGTGTGTTAATCATCTCAAGGGTTCACAGATTTTTGATAGGTGTGCAATGAATCTGTGTAGACAGCCATTAATATAAATTACTGGATTCCCTTCATGTCAAGCCAGAAGTGTTGTCAGGAAAGTAAAAGACCTGACCGTCTAGGCTCAGACAATGGATCACAATGTACTATATCAAAAAATAAATAAATAAAAAGACTAAATGCCATGCTGGCAGTCAAGAAAGACAAGAGGCTGATGCCAAAGGTAAAACAGACAGGAAGGGATCCTATCACTTGCAATACTGGAACATTGCCATATACCCTCCAAGGGTCTAGACAACAGCCCAGAAGAGAGACACCACTGAGTCACAGTAACAAGACTCTGGTTCCCATGAAGGACTGACTGTCTGCTGAAGCCCAGCAGAGGAACAAATGGCAGAACACTAAAGCAGTTAAGAGAATGCCAAGATGACTGTGCATCCTACTACAAAGGAGTTAAGCACCTGACGCCAATTACGTAGCTGAGCAAATTTACAGTCTAATCTTTAAACAGCCACACAAAGCAATGGCATCAGGTAAAAGTCCTACTGTAGTGGAATGCAGTTCAAATAAGATTGGTATAGACTCAGAACAGTGGCAGAGACAAAACCAAAGACAACTGCAGAGTAGTGATGACAGGAAGACGAGGACCAAGAAGAACCCCACTCATCAGTTAACCTGACATAGGAAAATTGGGAAAAATTAGCTATGTAAGCAATACAGCGTATCAACAGGACATCAACCAACAGAATAAATGCAGCAATAGAATAGAACCAACAGTCCTGCACCAACAGCACAAATAAGAAGTGGGAGACTGGTTCAAAGACCAGCACACGTGAAAGATTATGAGGCCTAACTGGTAGCCATGGGATGTCTCAAAAGGCACTATCTTTGGCCTTTCAGTCAAATGATTGTACAAAAGACATAACAATTGCTAAAAGGAAAAATGTACCAATCTGCATGGAACTTGCGAGGGAGGAGCACAGGCTGCAGGAGGTCTATAGGAGGCAGAAGGCTAAAATGCTATCTGTAACTCTAAACTTATTTCTTTGTCATGTACAGACACTATAAAATACAACAAAAATTAAAACACGCTTTTGAAAATTTGTCCCTAAACTTTTTATAGATATTTTCTAATTTTAAGAAAATTCAATCAAACTCAAATAACTTTTTTTAAAAATCCAGTGAACCTTGAGGAAGTAAAAAATACCAGGACAAAGTACATCTTTAAAAATATTACCTACTTACAACAATATCAATGTAAATATAATATTTTTCTTTGACTCACCTCTCCCCCATTAACATATTCCATCACAAAACACAAACGATCCTTTGTCTGGAAGGAATATTTCAAAGACTTAAAAAGAAGAAAAAAAAATAATTATGTTCACATATTATCCTGATTTCTAGCAATTATTTAAAAAAAATTTAATTGCATCTTATTAAGCCAACAAATCTGATTGCTGGAATATATCATCACTGTTTCCTACTTCTCTACCGGCAACACTACTATGAGAGCCATTGACAATGAAAGTCTACACATTTTGCTCACTCAGCACAGTGTAGATTAGTATAATTATTTTTAATACTTAAAACCACCATGTTGCCATTTTAAAAAGGCACATTTTTCTACTGGCATTTGTAATCTGACTTTGAAATGAAATGTCTCTCTTGTATCCAAGTATGTGGTATTACCCACATTATGTTCCACCACTACACTCTTCCTCAGTTCAATGTCACTCCAAACCCACTTTTTCCATGGTACCCATAAGAAGAAAGATTACAAAATTGTGAGTGAAGTAGGGCAAGCAAGAACCTTCAATGTGACCCCCACATCTGTCTTTCTTATCTTCAGAGCAAATACTATCTTTATTTCAATTCATTGTACAATGCTGAACAGTTTTTCAGTGCCAAATGAATAATACATGTTTTTTTAAAAATATTACAATTATTAGTCATATAATTTAAAATCTTGACTTCCCCCGGTTGAATGGCTCATGATAGACCAAATTCATTCCCAGTGTAAATGTACTGACTATAAACCTATTACAAATATGCATTTGGCCCAATTATTTGAAATGCAGTGTAGTAAGATTTAATGTAGTTATGAAAGGATAGATCATGACTTAACAACGTACCTAGAGTAAGCAGAGCTGCACGTTGTTGTGCTGTCCCTAGAGTAGCCCAGGAGGGAGACTGTGGCTAAGGGAGTCAACTGCCCTGCTGTTCTCCCGGCTGCTCTGGGGAGGGAGAAAACTGTGCTGGATCTATACCCGGTACAGCATATAGCTCCCAGACATACCAGCTACGTGACCAGTGGTTTAAGGAGCAAGGCCAAGGCTGTGCCCCACTCCCCACCACTGATAACCATATGCATCATATACTCCTTTGTGCTACTGGGCAAGCTGGGCACAGTTAGGCCCACAAACACTACTTGGTTTGCCAAGTATAGCTATAATGTCAGCCTCTGCCTCCATAAAAAAGCTTTTAAAACAGCAAAATGAACAAGACTTCTTAGTAGACTATGCTATATACAAAGTTTATAATGAATAGCTGAAATGTATATGACTTGAAGGAATTAGTACTTTTTAAGAGAGAAACTAAGAAATTATATCAATGTATGTATATAGGGGCACTATTTCCTGAACAACAAAGTTAATTTCAGATAAACTTCCCCCTATTTATGTTGACTTAAAAGAAACTGGCCACAAATTTTGGACTAAATTTTTTCATTTAAAAATGCCATTTCATCAAAACAAACATTTTGTTCTGACAAATTGCCTGTTTTAATTTTTTTTAAAGCCCTGAAATGTTTAGTGCCCCATTCTCAGCATTTTCAAAAGTTTAAGTAATTTCACATTTAAAAATTTATTTCAAGTTTTAATTTATAGTAAAAATAGTTTAAAAATTAAAAATGTCTACAATAAAATGAAACATTTTGAAATTAAACAAACAAAATGTTTTCACTGACCCAATCCAATATTTCTCTCAGATATTGGTTCAGAAAATTTTTCAGGACTGACCTGTCATCCTAACGGGAGTCAGGAAAACTTTTCGAAATCTTAAAAATTCTTGCAGAAGAGCAAAATGAGTTCCTGAGCAGCTCAAGAAGGACTATAAAAGGGGCTGTTTGGGAAGTTCCTAAAGACCTAATCTATAGGGAGGTAGAGTTCAAAAACCAAAGTTACCTGAGGCCAAAGGTAAGGAGATTTAATATCTACTTTCTACATACTGATAAATAATAATTTTCTTAATTTATTTAATCTTTCTTATTTCATGCACTACCACTTTAGGAAATGATAAAAGTCATCAAGTGTGGGTTTCTTTTATCTTACATGGACAACCAAATTGACAAGTGGTAAGTGATTTCTAATTACTATTGCTAAAATTTTTGAAGCATCATAAGCATGCAAGGCACTTGAAGATATAATTAACGTACTGTCATATGTTCTAGATTCTGAAATGGATTGAACCATATTCTTCTTGACTATCTTTATACTTTGCTAGAAGTTTCTTAATTTTCATTCTAATTTCTTCTGATATAATTTTATAAGATTTTAAATATTTACTTTAATATAAATCCAAAAAACCTTTATCATCCATATGTCTATTGCTTTCTACAATGATTTCTTTATAAATCAGTTTATATAGTTTATCATGTTCATATTGTAATTAGCCTTATTTTCAAAAATAAGCTATACAAATCTATAATAGTATTCTATATTAAAATTACAAATGACTAATCATTGGTTTTTGAACACAGAAGACAGGAAAAATGTTTTTTCTCCTTAATTTTTTGAAAATTTGTCCTCAGTATATTTTTGGATAAACGGAGATTGGGAATGAATTTAAATTAGTTTTATAGTAGAAAATTAGTTTCCTTAAATATACACTAACTTTAATTTGCAGTGAACTTCAAATATATTTAATTTCCTTTATTTTGCTAATACATAATAAAAATGGTGAACATATTTTAATATCCATAATATGTATTTCAAAACATTTAATCAGCACACATTGAACAAAGATACTGAATTATTGCTGTTATATGTTTATTGCCAGACAAACACGTTTTTCAGTATCCTATCTTCAGTTTCTAACAGTTTTAAATCCACTTTCTTCTACTTAGTCAATTGATAATCCATAAAAAAGTTCTACAACCCAGCACTTTTTATTTTAATGGATAAAAGAATCCATACAAAACTGCAACATTTTAATTTTACAATTAACTTTTTAACTAAAGTTTTGCTCTCATATAAACTCTATCAAACTATATAATCCAATTACATTCCTAAACCACAAATCTTAAATGTACTTTCTAAGCAATAATTTAGTTTACCATAAATTCCAAGATATTTGGCATCCTAAATCACATGAATTATACAAAGTTTTAAAATATATTTATTTACAAGATTTTTCCAATGACTGTATATCCATTAGGTTAAAAATTATCCATTTAAAAATTATTCTGTATAACCAATACTTACCGTTAAAAAAGGGTGTCTAGTGTTTTTTAATACTCTGCTTTCTGTGAGAGTGTGAGCCACTTCATCCTGAATAATAAAGGGTTCAATATGAATTGAGAGATGAAAATTATATTTAATGTATACATGTAATTTTAAAATGAGATAGCACATTCAGTTTTGATAATAGCTATTTCTTTTCAAATAATACTACCATTCAAATATATTCTAAAAATACAAGTAGAAAATTAAGCGCATCTCCTAATGTGGAAAAAATGTATTTACAGATCCAATATTTGAATACTTATTTTTTTCTAGTGCTAATGGATGAATTTTTATACCACTATGTATTGGAGGAAATTATTAAGGAATTAATTATTTAATAACAGATAAATAATGGGTCCTATATTGCAGTTCTGATGTGACGTATCTAATATTACACATGTAATAATCTATAACGTTTTATTAATGAGTAACCATTTATTTTTGTATCAAATGCAGATAGATAAAAAATTGGGAAGCAACTGCATAGCATACCCAACTGAATCTTAATATAAAAACTTACGTGTTCAGAGGATTAGCACACTACATTTTTACAATTAACTCATATATAGAGTAACTAAGAATATCTGAGTTTTACAGTATTTTAATGCAATATAATAAAAAATGGAAGTCTGAATTGCAGTTCACAAAGAAAATTCCTTAGAATAACTCCACAGCTATCTGAATTATCCTGAAAAGTGTAGCAGGGTCAGCAACTTACAGTTTAGGTTGCCTAGCAACTGATATGATATTCTTCATAGTGAATGGAAGATTAGTTTGTTGCAACTCAGAAATATCAGCTACACCACCAAGCAAGTACATTTGTTCAGAGTATGCTTTTCAAACAGTAACAGAAATAATGAAAATGTAACACAATTGTACTGTACATATGAATTAGTCTATACTATAAAGAAAAGATACCCCTAAACTACAAATTAAAAATGCCAGGAGTTATAAATCACGCTGAAAAGACAACTGTTAAAACAAGAAGTTAAAAACAACCACAACAAAAAGTTGGTGGTTAAAAATGTTGGGTGAATATATACAACCACATACAACAGGAAGGCATTAAAACAATTAAGTGGAGGAACCATAAGAATTTTCTAATATATTTTTAGAAATTTATCAGTTACATAGAGAACTAGAAAAGACAATGTCAAGTAACTTTTTGGAAATCTATTTCATGTCCTATGCTATAAGAATATTTCCCTCCCCTGTTTTACAGTCCAAATGTCAGAATGGATTTAGTATCCAGGAAACAACAAAAATACCTTTCTCTTCACTTTACGATTATTTTTTCTGAAAGCAATTGATAATGTTATATTAGACTATTTCTGATCCCAGCAATTCGCACTTGGATCTTAATATATGGGTGGGCCATAATTGGTTATAAAAATTTTTCATATTTGTCATGGTCAATTAATGTAATAAAACCTCTCAATACTATCCTAAGCTTTAAATCAATGTTAACATTAAGTTAACATCTTAAATAAAAGTTTGCATCAACTTGGATTTCTTTCCCAAAAAGTCTAAGGTACAATTTGAGTCCCTTGCCACTGTGGTCACAAGCAGTTTCCATACCCATATTCAAGCGAAGATTATACTGTTATTAGCGAAAGTGTGTGTGTGTCTGTGTGTGTGTGTGCGCGCGCGCGCGCGGGGGGTGGAGATCCTCCTCTTCAATGTGGAAACAAACTACTTATATTATCAACAACAAGATAACACCCAAATGTCCCTCAATTTTCATGGGGAAAATGGATCACAACAAAGTGCAAAATTTACCTGTTATTTAAGATTGATAGAGCTGCTGAAACATTTTAGAGAATTTAATATTCAAATAACAAAAGTAAATAAAACATGACATTTTTGCCTTACAATTCTTCTTTGAAATGTGACTATGCAAAATTGGGACCCTCATATTCAACATATCTGCTGTCTGTTTTTTACTCCATCATCTACATTTATTTTTAGTTATACTGAAGTCCCCCATCCTATACATTGTTAAAATAAGTTCAGAACATTTCTCATATTTGGTCAATAGAAGCACACATAAAAGTAAACTTAAAAACAAATATTTAAGTGTTTGTTGGATCAGGGTCTAAGATTTTAGTGCAATGTACTCTTGGTACCTCTGCAGAGATCACACTAGTAGTATGTGAGGAGGACTCTATTCCCGCTTGTACAAAAGCTCCTGACAGGTTATTCCTTTCTCAGGTTGAGTTTGCAGGACTAAAAGTTAGAAAAAGGAACTATTTTTTTGTAAACTGAGCATATTGAAAACAGCAAAGATTTTTAAAAACAGGAGTGTTAAGTTGTTTCAATATTTGCTTAAGTTCCAGAAGCGCAGAGGACTAAATAACCCCCAATGAATGTCAATGATCAGTATTCTAACTACGGAGATGCAAACCTAATTTAAGAAATCATTGACACACAAACATGCAATCCCAAAATACCATTTGAGACACATTTTGGTAACAATACCACAAAAAATCAAGTTATTCTAATTCTCATCTTGCTTCTTCACTCCTGCTGTTCAATTCTGGCACAATTTTCATAGCTATTATATCACAAGCATTAGATTTAGAGATTAATGTTTATTTCATTTAAAATCTGGGATTCTGAGATGCTCTAGGTATTACAGAGCATTAGAATGGGATTTTCGAAACAACTCAGCACGGGCTTAATTATGCTCTCCTTGATTTCAAAGAATGTTGAGTTAGGCTAACATGGAATGCTGTTGAAAACCCCATTCTTAAGTAAATAAATGAAAAGGCAGTTTCTACAATGGTATAAACTGGCATCATTCCACTGGAGCATCAGGTGGATATGTGCCCCTTCCTTTCAGTTTTGGTAATTGTCAAAAATCATGCCAGAATGTAAGTGGGTGAAAATGAAACAAATTATATTAAAAGTAAAGTTTAGGTCCAAAATCTCTCATAAGGATGTGAACGACTCGTCAACTATCCAATGAGCAAATGCTTATCGGATAGTCGACAGGCCAGTCGACTAGTTGCTCCCCCCCACACACTCACACCTCTTGTGGCCTCTATCAAAAAGAGGAAGCAAGGGGGGTTGGAGAGTGCTTCCAAGTGGCAGCACCACGTGGAGACTGGGACTAGACCCCGGGTTCCCCACGGCATTTCAAAGCAGCAGTGGGACTCCCACGCTGACCCCAGGCTTCATGATGTTGTTTTAACTCTCTTTTTCCAGTGTTACTGCAGCAGCTATCGGCATATTGTGTCTATCTAACTGGTATAGAAGCCACACCAACTATGGCACCTTTATACTGAGTGAAAAAGGTGAAGTGGCAGCATACAAGAGCCCTAAAAGCCCTTTATGCACCAGGTTGAGGATTCTGTCAGAATAGGAACTAAGAAAGATAGTCATAAGACTGCCTCTTGCGTACCTATTTTAGGACAGGCCCAACACGGAAAACAACAGAACACCACTGGTCATCACCTACAGCCCCTAGCTAAAACCTCTCCAGCACATCATTGATAATCCCTCTCTCTCTCACAGACCTTGGGAGACAGGCCAATCCTCACCTACAGACAACGACCTAATCTGAAGCAAATACTTAACCAACAGCCACATATCACACCCAGGAGCCTATCCCTGTGACAAACCCCGTTGCTAACTCTGTCCACATATCTATACAAGCAACACCATCACAGGACCTAACCACATAAGCCACCACATTAGGGGCTCAACCACCTGCACATCCACTAAGCCACCACAGCCCATCCTCCTTAGCTGCAAGTTCTGGCACAGCGCAGTTCATCCTGCCACTATATTTAAAAGCAAAAACATACAGAGTGAACATATATATATAGATGCCATCAAGTACCAACGACCCTCTCAAATGTGTACTGGTCAAACTGGACAGTCTCTGTGTCAAAAGATAAATGGACACAAGTTAGACATCAGAAATGGCAACACACAGAACCTGTAGGGGAACATTGTAACCTGCCTGGGCACTGATGAATGGATTTAAATGTAGCCATTCTTCTACAAAGGAATTTCAACAACCCAGTTACAGAGACAAAGAGCTGAATTGGAGTTCATTTGTAAATTCAATACAATCAACTTAGAACTGAATAGGGATCTTAACTTGTTAAAGCATTACAAAGGCAATTTTTCCTCTCTTGGTATTCACATCTCCACATCAACTACCGTGAATGAGCCACATCCACCATGACTTGACTAGTCTCATTACCAGAAGTAATTTATATACTTATATATATCCCTGCCTCTCTAACTTCCACTTCAATTCATCTGACTAAGTGGGTTTTACCCACAATTGCTTATGCTCTAATAAATTTGTTCAGCACAGTTCATCCTGTCACTATACTTAACCAAAAGCAAAAACAAACAGTGATATTTTAAAAGCAAAATATATAAAACACATGAGGAAAAAAAAACATTAGAATTTTACAGTTATCAGTTTTGCCAACCCCAGGCACACAAAAATCACCAGTCACACCAACAAAAATCATCAGATTAGGGTTCTTTGGATCTGACTCCTGGAGCAAATTTGTTCAAATTTTAAACTTTTCCACGTGACAAGAAACTTACTTTTTTTAAGATGAAAGATAAAATTCTCACATAATAACCAGCAGCTGGGATTTGTATAAACCACCAAATATTGCAAGAGCCACAATAAGTTTACTAGGCAAAAACAGAGGGGTAACTAGATAAAATGTTATGGTTTATGTTGCACAGGAGGTCACACTACATGATTTAAATGGTCCTTCTAGTATTAACCTTTTCGAGTCTAAAACTATGGCTACACTACAGCTTCTCCCGCAAATACAGCTACCGCCACTAGCAAAGGCTGGAGTAATTTAGCCAAAGGAAGAGCTTGCTCCCATTAGTTTACAGCTGCTGCAGAGTTTACAGCTATAGCCTAAGAATCAAATTGAAACAGTTGACAATATCAGGATAGTCAAACATTAAGTTTAAACTATTTGATCCTGCCCCTTTAACACCAGCCTGCGGGCATAAACTTCAAATTGTCCTGTCCCAAGGAACTAGAAGGTTTTAATTGTTTACCTCATGAGTAGCTGCCTCACCTAGCAAGACAGGGAATAAAATATAATCTGTATTTAATTCTTCCACTTCATGCAAGATATTCTGAGAATGATCCCAGTTTGCTTTTACATAATCTTTTCTTGTAAGCTTACAGTACTTCCAACATCACATTTTCTTCTAATTTAAACCTGACAAACAGTCTTTCTGGTGCTTTCCTAAACATAGATCCAGACAGCCACAGCAAGAATGCTTTCCAATGCTTTCTGTTCACTAGACTGGAAAGGCTATGGAAAAGGCACATGAAGCACAAATATTAAGAAAACTTAAATCCTTTTAGAACCTTACAGTTACCATCAGAAACCACAGATGTTTTGCCTGTTATATATGGAATTTTCCACCCAAAGGAATACTTGAGAAGAGAAAATAATAAAATATAAGTTTACCTTTGCAATAATAACTTCTTTTTTCAAAATCTTCATAGCATAATATTTTCCACTTGCCTTCTCTCGGACCAAAATAACTTTGCCAAAAGTGCCTTTCCCCAGCAGTTTTAAATAGTCAAAATCATTCATTGTCTGGATAGAGCAAAAAACAAGAACAGGTTTTGTATTATGCAGCATACACTATCACCATCAAACAGTACCAATGCCAGGAAATTAAGATCAAGTTACACAGATATGTAGATTTTCACAATCTAATTCAGAATAGTGAAGAACATTTTACTTTAAGGTTTTAACTACATCTTTAATTCATTCATTTAATTATTGCAGTTAATAGGGTTCCCTAGAAAATCTCCAAATAATATATATGATCCTATATATCACATGTAATGATTTGGAACAACAGCCCATGAGTCTTAACTCTGAAATTCATGGATTTTGCCAGTTCTTAAGAAAGATTATCAACTCTAGCAAAACAAAGGGAATGAAGAAATATGGCCGCTCATACGCTTCTTTTAACATCAGGCTGCTGCTGAGACTGGAGTTCCGCACTGGTGTTTGAGCTTTTTTAAAACATGCATAATCCACTAGCTTCAGTACAATGCCAGTAACAGCCCAAACACCTTATCAGACTTACTTAAACCTATGGATAATAGAACCAGGCTGGTGTCAATATTTGCATTTTATTTTCTTTCACTTAATTTAATGACCACAAAATGAATTCCAAGAAATCAAAATATTAGCCAGCAAATAGCTCTGGAAACCTTCATATCTATAGATACATGCAGGCAGGGCACGCAGGCAAATGAACCTGCTGTGTCTATCATTGCTCACTCCCTCTTTACATGATGGGTTTAGTTATCCTCAGGGAAGCCTCTGGATACTCTCTAAAAACAGCTTTGAAATTACAGAAGGCACAAATAAAGGGTGTCAAGATACTGTGAACATTACGTACAGACAGAAAATATGAAAATAAAAATAGCAAATTTAAAACTATATAATACATTGATTTAAGAAAGTGTCTCTCTTTTAAAAATATAAAAATCTGGACAATAAGGAGCCCGAAAACTCTAACTATTACAAATCAAGGCATATCCAGAAAGGTCTTAGCCATAGAAAGGCGTTTAAGAGCTGCAAGAGTCAACATGATCCATTAAATCTGAACTTCTTGTCAACAAAAGGATCCTCCTGGTCTCTAGTTTTGCTTTGAGAAAAATGGGCTACTAAACACATTTCCATGCCTAGTTATTTTTGCTCAAATAAAAGATTCTGTGTGCATATGCACATATGTACACATACACACTTCTTTTATGAAGGAAAAGGAAGATTGCTTGTATGGACAACTGTCCCTCCCATCTCTCACCCATCTCAAATGACAGTGTACTCTGTTGTTTTTCCACATGTGCACTTATTTGCCTTGCTAACTGTCTCACACAGATGAGAAAGGAGAAGACAAGAGGGAGAAATCCCCCTATAACATAACTTTTGGTGTACTGAGTTCTAACTAATGGTGATATTTCTATGTTGATATTTCTTCTTACCAACCTAGGACAGAAAACTATCATTTAAAAATAAGGTAATTGAGATGTTGCACACAACCACTTCAGGCAGAGGTGGAAAAGGAGTTCAGACCTCGAAGACAAAAACAATTCACAATGCATCCATGTAGCCATGATGTCATTGGAGATGAGTTTGCAAAGGTACATGCTTGACTGTAATGTCTCTACCCACCAAATCACATTTCTGCTGCCAGAAGCACAAACATAAAGGCAGGAGTCCCAAAGTCCAACATCCACCACAGCTGCCTCACCTGTAGCTGTATAATCCTTTGGCAAAACCGATGTCATTTCTCTCCCTAATAGCTGATACACATACAAAATAAAAGCCTACTTCTACATAATTCATTCTTTTTAGTTAAAGTGGTAAGATCTGTGTTGCGGATCTAAAGCTCCTGGATTCAAATCCTGCTGACAATCCATGGGAAAAAAGTTAGTATCTGATTATATAATTAAAGCTTGTTTATAATATATATGCGCAAGGGGCATCACTAAAGTTGCACCAAATAAGTTAATTCTAGCATTTCCCAGTACTTGGCTTTGCAACTTTAAAAGTTGTAAAGAAACTTTTAAAAAATGAAATTAAATGAAAAATAAAAAATAAAAAGCATGTCAAAGGGCTCTGGTGTTTTAAGGCATTAATTTTAACAGCAACAGTAATTAATTATTGAAGTCATGGTGCATTCTCCATCACTGACAATTTTTAAAGCAGCATTATATGATTTCCTAAAAGATCTGCTCTATTATTATTTCTGAGACATTCTATGGCCTGTGTTATACAGGAGGTCATTCTCTAATCACAATGGCCACTTCTAGTAATCTAGTCATCTCCCCAAAAGTCACAATTAGAACTTTGGCAGAATAAGCAAGTCACCTTCATTGTTTTAACAATCTTGTAAACGAACATGCAGCACACCATATGTGTCTAGACTACAGGGTTTTGTCAACAAAAGTGAGCTTTTGTCAACAAAACTATACCTGCATCTACACTACCGCCGCGTTCTGTCAACAATAAGTTTTGTTGACGGCAGTGAACCTCATTCTACAAGGAATAATGCCTTTTTTTTGATAGTACTCTGTTGAAAAAAGGCGCTACTGCATGCAAACTGTGCTTTTTCAAAAGAGAGTATCTAGACTCTTTCAAAAAAGCGGCTTGCTTTGTCAACAGTACTGGTTGTAGTCTAGACACTCTTTTTCGACATAGACTTTGTCGACAGCCTCTGTCGAAAAAGGCGTGCAGTCTAGACACACCCCGTGTTCTTGCTCTTCTCTGTGTTGAAGTAATGAAAACTGCCTAGAGATACAACTCCTGTAGAATGAAAAGCACAAGAAATCCCTATGGAACAGAACAGTGGCTTAGTCAGAATCTTTTGTATCTTCACCTATAAAACTGGTCATTCTCCCCTTTGGGGATGAGACAACAACTTGATTACTGAAGGGCAGTTGATTATCTACTTTGTGACCTAAAGGACGAAGGTGAAAGCATTTCATTGCCATACCACTTCTAAAAGTCAGAAATCTGTGAGATCAGCCAAGACCTCTACAAAAGGAGTCATCTCTTCTCTCAGAATCATCCCAGACTGGGTGAGTACCAACTTATCAAAATTCATTCAGAAAGTTAGGATAGTAACAATGGAGAAAGGAACACTTCGATCTAGATGAACACATTTACAGGTATGAAGGAAAAGGCAACAAGCCAAACCTATTGCAAGAATGTGTAATCTAGTATTTCCACCAGTGAAAACTAAATTCAGTGCTCTCATGGGTCTAACTTCTACGCATATCACATCAAAGCAGGTATTCCAAAGGTAACAGCCTTGAAAGATTCTGAACAGTGGCTTAATACAAGGGCAGAGCTAGTGATGAAGACAAAGTCTCTTCCTGAGTTTAGGGACCGAGAGTTGACAAACAATGCAGAGCAACACAATGAAGTTTGCTAACAAATGCAATGGGTGGACTTTGGGAGACTGAAGAAACCTCTCAACCAGATGAAAGAAAGGGTGGGGACTACTAAAAACTTTGATGAGATAAGAGGACAAATTATTCCCTGAGGATTATAGGAAATCAAACGCGTGAAGGGCTTTCATGCCTTCTCTTGTCCCTTCCCCTGGCCTCCTATTCCTCCAGTGTTCTGATCTTATTTTTCCCCCCCCCCCCCCCCCCCCCCAACACTAAATGTATGAGATAAGGAAAAGAGGGAGAAGGCAGAGCTGCAAGTTCAATGCTTCTGTTATTGGAAGGCAAAACAACTAAGAAAGATTCACATAGTTAGTCCTTATACAGAGCTGATTGACTCCACCTATTGATGTTTTATTTGAAAGAAGAGAAAGAAAACAGGCTTTAAAACAAATTGTGGAAAACACGTAAGAACATACTCTATGCATAAAAGGACTGATTCCGTTCCTATTAAAATCAACAGTGAATTTTGCCATTGATTTCAATGAGAGCAAGATCCTACCCATAAGAAAGGAGTGCAGAGAGGAACAAATACAGATATCCAGCCACCTTCAGATCCTAACCTAACATACTGTACTTCAAAATTCTAGAGATGGTACTATAGCTACAATATACATCGATACAAAAGTTTTAAAAGTTATTCATGAGAAGCACCACCTTTGATTTACAGCAACAGCCAGACTGAAGATGATGGAGCCACTTCTGTGAAAATTAAAATCACATACTCTAACGATAATTTTCTTTACAGACTCAATTTGCTACATTTCTAAAGCAGAATAATATCATTTCTGTGTATTTGTTTCTTAATCTGATAATGTTCTTCTACTAATAAGTGTACCATATGGAGAAGGCACAAGCAAAATCCTTTGGGCTTAAGGGTAGAATCATGTGACAGCTAAAATGTGTGGGACATATTGTACAATAAACCCCTGATGTTAAATAAACTTATACAGAAAACAAATGGCAGGATAGATATATTATATGGTTATAAATTGTGCTTCTGATTATATCAATAACTATAAAAGAGCTTCACAAAATCAGATGTTTAGACTGATTTCTGTACTAATGCATCATACAGTAAAACAGGAGACCTTAAGTTCCAAGTGCACTTCTTATAAATTGTGTTAATTCTGTACTATAAATTGAACCTCTCTAATGCAGAACTTTCTCGTCCAGAAATATCCATTATCCAGAATTATTTTAGTTAGACGGATATCCACTTTTCATGAGTGTGGCCAAGTTTCCCATGGTCCTATAAAGTTTGTTTACAACCGCCAGTCCTAGCTCTTAGTGTTTTGTTTGTTATTTACCGTTAATTTACCCCTAAATGTCCTCTAACAGCATAGTAAGCAATGGAATGCTGCTAGACAATATTGACCTCCTATGGTCCAGAAAATTCTCTCAGTCAAAACTGATCAGGTCCTGAGAGTTCTGGAATAGAGAACCCTTATTGATATGCACACCTGTAGTGTGACAACCCTTATTGATATGCAATGTCTTATAGTCCACCGAGAAGTTACATAAGCTGGGGATTCTCAAGATCTCTAGCAAGACAGACCCAAATCCCTTCAATTTAGCCACACTGCCTCTCAAAAATACTCTACCATATCTCTGGACATACTATTGGTAATAGGGTGCTAAATCATGTATAGGTAACACTAGGGATGTAAAATATCATTTAATCAGTGAACTGGTTAAATTTTAGGTTTAACTGGTTCACTGATTAAGCAGGATCCTGGGTGGGGGAATCACTCCAGACTGGCTAGAGCAGCCCTCAGCCTGCAGGACTGATGGTCCTCCAGGAATCAGCTCCTTCTCCCACGGCGGGCACAAGGGGGCTGTTACAGGATGCCAGTTAACCATTACTGTGAACAGGTGGTAGTTTACATCCCTAGGTAAAACACTGTTTCAGTGTGTCATACCTCCATCTCTAGTGGCCGATTCATATAGGACAGTTTCTGTTAACTGATTTAGTTTGTCCAGGAGCATAACTGGTAGAAGACTATGTTGCAATGCTAAAAGATCAGGATTCATATATTTGTGATGATGCATGATGAAGAGATTATTACAACTGCACATAGCAGAACCTGTTTTTTTTCCTTTTTCTTAAAAAAAAACTGCTAGAAATATTTCTTTACATCTTCATCATTCAGGGACACTCACTACTTTAAACACAAGACCATCCTTTGCTTTCTAAATTCCTCTATCTAATTTTCTATACATCTTCCAATGTCTAGAGAATGAAGTCATATATAAAAAAACTCATTCTTCACAGGCAAGTTGGATTAATTTCCTGAGCTGCCTATGCACTGAATAAAGCATGTCCATTCAATCCTCAATATCCATTTAACAAGTGTCCAACACTACTCTACCAACTGCAATTAGACAAAGAGACAGACAGACAGAAATCATAAGACAATACAGTAAAAACTCTTTTATCTGGTACTTCACCAACTATCAAGCTCAATAAACCAGCCTTTCTGATATGCACAGAAAGCATGGTTTTAGTATGGTTGGTACGGGATTGGTAGGGGCCTGAGAAGCGCTGCAATGAACAGTGAAGGCTAAGTTAAAAAAAGTTCAAGTTGTGTGTTCATTCTGCTGGCTTTGTAACAACAACTTAAAATATACTATTTCTAGTACTTTACTTATTCCTGTTGCTATCAAGGAAGGTGGTAGTTTACAGATAAGAAAATAAAACAGTAATATCTTCTACTTTATTAAAAATTAGAACACAGATATTTTTGCAGAATGCAAAGACGAAATGTCAGCAAGGCTGTGTCTACAATGCAGTGCTATAAATAACTATTCTGCATCTTTTGAGCATGCCCATTATTTCAAAATATCTTGGGCTTGCTATTCCACCGTCCCTGTAACCCTCATTCCATGAGGAGTAAAGGACATTTTGGAATAGTGATTTATTTCAAAATAAGTGCTATGTAGACAGTAAAAATTGACTCAAAATAAACAACTTGCGTAGCTCAAATTGCGTAATTTATTTTGCGTCACGAATGCAGTGTAAATGCACCCTAGGACTACGTCTACATTGCATCCCTCTTGCGCAAAAGCCTATGTAAAGGAAGCGTGGATTAGTATATTGCCATACTTCATTTGCATAATTAATTGGGGCCATTTTTGCACAAGAGGCTTTTTGCATAAAAAAGAGGCGTCCACACAGTGCGTTTTTGTGGAAAAACTCCCTCTTGTGCAGGAGCCATTCTCATTTATTCAGGAAGATGGATGCAATGTAGACATAGCCTAAGAGACAAATACTGATTACTTTTCTCATGCAAATAATATATTTCTTTAAATGGGAGTATTTGCATGAGATAGACAAATAGTCTTCCTTTAGCAAAAATCCTCTTTCCACATTTCTAGAAGATTAGAAAATATAAAAAAGCAAAATGTGAAAATGTAGAAAAAATTGTCAACTAATTCATTCAACCCTGACACAGAAATCAGACATTGAAAAAATAAGTAGCATATATATCCATTAACTCTTGGTGCCGGATAGCGGGATGTTAACATGTACTCATGTACATGGTAGGGATGTTAAGTAGTGGGAATTTGACTAATTGTGTAGTCGATAAAAAATTTTATCGACTACATGATGAATCGATAAGGGAAGGCACTCAGTCCCAGCTCACGCCGGGTCCAGGAGCTACCTCTGCTGCAGCTCTGCAATTTATATGTAGCCAGAGCTGGGACTAGCTGGGTCCAACAGCTTCTGTCTGCAGGAGGTCCCAGGAGAAACAGAATGCGGAGTAGCCTCTGTCCACGGCGAGCCTGGGCCTGCCACAGGCAGAGGCTGCTTCACACCCCCACACTCACACACTGTTGCCTCTGATAGTGGGGGGGGGGTGGAAACACAACAGCAGTGCAGGAGTGGGGGGGGCAGGCACCACCACAGAGACAGCGCTGGGGGAAAATGGCTTTTAAAACGGCTCCTGCTTCCTCACCCCCGTTGCTGACTCTGATAGAAAGGCATCAAGCAGGGGGCCAGGGCAGGGGGGGAGAGAGAAGGAGGGGAAAGAGCGAGTAGTCAGACAGTTTAACCATACCCAGTACATGGTTAACCAATAAGCCTGGGCTCCTCGGTTAACCCGCATGGTTACACGCACCCATTCTGCTGCCTCTATTTAAGATGCAGTGGGGAGGGGGGGCAGAAGCTAGTGTACATGGGGAACCGCCTACCTCTCCCATGCTGACTCCTACAGAGGTAGGTGGGGAGGCAGACGGAGCCACCTGCCCCTTCAGCCCCACTGCCTCTCAGTGGTTACATATTTACACAATTACACTTATTTTAACATTCCTAGTGCCAGAAAGAATGAACTATGAGCTCAAAGAGTGACTTATGTGAAAACAACAAAATTAAAGAAGTTCAACTTTAACTTTAATAAAAGAAATGTTTATGTCCATGTCTAATGGTAAACTAAAACTTTTCTATAAATAGTTGTCGCTGCATATTGCTTCTATACAAATACACAACCATACACAAGTGATTTACATATTAAGGAATTTTATCAGTCATTTCTATATCCTGTACCTTTCTTTTATGGTGGGTTGTGGAAGCATCCATCTCCTCCTCTCCTATATTGTCTATCTGTGATGTTGGACTACAGTTCATTCTCTCCTCTTCTTGCCTCTGAAGCCTATCTGCTACAGCCTGGATGGCTTCTGTCCATTCTTCCCTATCAAGGATAGACCAAAATTCCTATTAAAAATTTACAAGGCTTGACTTCTTCTGCAACTAAATGGTTTCTAATGAATACAAACATAATACAGTTGAACATCTCTGGTCCAGCAATGTCTGTAATCCTGAGTGTCCTGGTGGCTGGGAGCAGGGGCCGTCTTAGAAGTCCAGCAGCAGAGGGGCCAGTAGTTGGGAGTGGAGAACTGAGTGCAGCTGGGCCAGGAGCAGAGCCAGGCTGGGGCTGGGAGAGGAGCCAGGCTGGCAGCCTGGTGGCAGTGTGCCCAGCCAGGAGCAGAGCCCTGAGAAGGGAGCCTAGGAGCTGAGGCCAGCAGCAGGAGAGGAGCTCAGTGGCCAAGAAGGAGGCAGCCCTCCAAAAGAGCCCAGAGGCCAGCAGTTGGCATTGACCTCCACAGACCAGCAAATCACCTTGTTCAGGACTGGTCGGGTCCCCAGGGTGCTGGACCAGGGAGGTTCAAGTGTAGTAGTATTTTACCTGCAAATTCCTATACTATATAATGAAGGAATTACTGAAGTAATTTGCTTCAATTTACTCCCAGGTACTGTATAAGTCTAGCAAGTGGAACCTGCTCTAGAATCAGTAGCACAGAGTATATGTGCATTGCAGATTATATCACATTAATTAAATAAGTATACCTTTGTAAATACTTAACAACAAAAGTACCTTAATGAGTCAAAGTATAGCTCAGGCTTAGTGTAGACAGTATTCTGCAATCCCAATATAGTCTGTATTTCTTGACAGGCTATTTAAAGGTATATCACTAACAAATAAAACAGCTCAGTATAAGGCAATGTTGACCTTTTAGGACAATCTAGATGACTATATTATCAACAGAGAAAGAAAAGGTAGTAGCTAATTGCAATTTCTAACACAATGCATGGTATTAATCTCAACTGGAAAGTGGGCACTATGAGATAAAGATCACAATACACTATGTCATTACTTTGCTATATAATTTTCTTACATGGCACCTCATCTCATCACTCTCATATTCTTCTTGAGTATGAAGAGATAATTTTTATTTTTACACCGTGCTTAATTGTGTATACACCTAACAAAAAATTGTAATAACTAAATATACAGTCACAGGATATTGCATTTTCCGAGAAAAGATGTACAGAACTAAAGGAAATTCATAGCTTCTGAGAGAAGAAAATGAGTTTCAAATCTGATTTATGTTGTTGAAAATGTAACTTCAGAGACACATCAAGACGCAAATTTGGGTAATTTGAACACATTCTTTAACTTCAGTTATCCAAAGTAATTATCTTATACTCAATACAAACTAGGAACATTTTACATAGGCAAACATATACATTCTTAAAATAATCACACACAAATAATCAGATTATGCAGTAATCAAGATCAAGACTTGCATCATACTGGTAGATATGCTGAAACTTTTGCCCAAAGAATTTGGAAGACATAACATTCCTCACCGTTCCTCTGGAGTGTCTACATGAAATGTCCTCTCTATTACAGTTGTCCACTGAAGACATCTAATAATAAATGTGTTTGGCTTTGGTCGCTCTGTTTTCATTAGCTGGCATTCTAGAAAGATATAATGGACATTTTTTATTATAAATATTGACATTATAATATGGGAAAAACAAATAAAATTATTTCATTACATTAAATGTAATTCATATACACATTCAGTATTTATAAGAAGCTATGGAACGAATCACTCAATACCTAGCTGAACTTGGGGCATGGATGAAAGCTAATTAGTTGTAGGCAAGATCGAAAGAATATTTGTGGGCTGGAGGAAACAGCCAGAAGAGCTAATGGAATTTGAATCACACAGACAGAGTGATCTCCATTTGTAAAACAGGTGTGCAACTTGAGAGTGGTGTTAGATCTTGCACTATTCAAAGACACCAAGGTAGAGCTTGTAGCCAAAGGCACCTTATTCCATCTGCACCTGGCAAGAAGAATGGGATCTTTTCTCTCTAATGCAAACCAAACCACAACTATTCATGACATTGTCACCTTAAGATTAAGTTGCTACAGTGTGCTCTTCATCGGGATGCACCTTAGAACCATTCAGAAGCTGTAGCTAACAGAATGTCGCAGAGAGCTTAAGTAACAACACATTAGAAGCACATGAGACCAATGCTTCACAATCTGTATAGTTTTCTCAAAAGCTTCCAGGTGGAATTCAAGGTGTTGGTTTTAATATATAGACCCCTAAGGGTGCGTCTACACTGCAGGGCTTAACTCGAAATAAGCTACACAAATTGAGCTATGTCAATTATGTATCTTATTTCGAAATAGGGAACGTCTATACAGCACTTATTTTGAAATAAAGCACTCTTCCTCTGACTTCCCTTATTCCTCATACAATGAGGCTGTGTCTACATTGGCACCCTTTTCCGTAAAAAGGATGCTAATGAGACACTTCGGAATTGCAAATGCCGCGGGGGATTTAAATATCCCCCGCGGCACTTGCATGAACATGGCTGTCGCTTTTTTCCGGCTCGAGGTTTTGCCGGAGAAAAGCGCCAGTCTAGACGGGATCTTGCGGAAAATAAACCCTTTTCCGGAAGATCCCTTATTCCTACTTTCAAGTGCCAATGTAGACAAAGCCTGAAGGTTACAGGAGTCAGAGTAAGAAGTCCTCTAGCTTGACAGTATTTTGACATTATTTCAAAATAACTGCCTGCTGTGTAGACACAGACTAAGTTATTTTGGCATAGCCCTAGTTATTTAGAAATAGTGCTGCAGTGCAGAAATATCCTAAATGGTTCGGAAGAGACTAGCTTCTTTCTCCAGCCTTCTGACAGAGTACAGATTAGGAGAGCAATTCAAGATGGTAGTCCCACAATCAATGTTTCCTCTAACTTTTTGCATCCATGAGCAGAATAAATTTTGTTACATGTACCATGGCATATGCTGATGTGCACCACCAATGGAAACACATGCTGCTGGCTGCGGATGGTTGTGGGTGCTCTGCTAAACAGCTGGGTGGCATCTGAATCTCTTCTGAGCAGCCACCCAAGAGCACAGCTTACAGAGAACACTGCCCTCAATATAAAGAAGGAGGAGCTGTTGGCAAGACATTCTCTGAGAATGGTCCTTTCTTTTGTAACTTGCTTCCCCACTCTGCTAGAATCGTATTGGTTGCCTTTTACGCATACCGTAAAGCCCACATTTTGTTAAAGATGCTAAGATGGCTGAGCATTAAGGTTCAAGTATTTATGATGTAAATAAAATGTATATGGTATTCATCCAGAGCAGTAGTTGGGCACCTATAAATATATTTTGAAAAACTGAATAAATTAAACATAATGAAATAAATATTTGCAATCTTGTACACATGAACATATATTAATTCACAAAACTATATTCATTGTACTTCCATAAATATATATTCCAGTGCAATGAATGGTCATTTCAAGTTTCCTTTTTCAAGTAAATTTCTGCAAGAAGAGACTTAGGCCATGTCTTCACACTGGGGAAGTTTGACATTGCCACGACCTTCTAGAGTTCAATTTAGCGGGTCTAGATAAGACACACTAAATCAAAATGAGAGTGCACCTCCACTGGCAGCCAGTACTCCTGCGTGGAGTAAGGGAAGTATGCCCGTTGGCCTCCAGCTACATAATTAAGGTAGATGGAGTTGCATATTTTGATTCAACCTTTTCCTTTAGGCTACGTCTACACTGGCCCCTCTTCCGGAAGGGGCATGTAAATTTCACGAGTCGTCGTAGGGAAATCCGCGGGGGATTTAAATATCCCCCGCGGCATTTAAATAAAAATGTCCGCCGCTTTTTTCCGGCTTTTACCCCGCGGCATTTAAATAAAAATTTAAATAAAAATGTCCGCCGCTTTTTTTTTAAAAAAGCCGGAAAAGAGCGTCTAGACTGGCCCCGATCCTCCGGAAAAAGTGCCCTTTTCCGGAGGGTCTTATTCCTACTTCAAAGACTTCAAAGTAGGAATAAGACCCTCCGGAAAAGGGCGCTTTTTCCGGAGGATCGGGGCCAGTCTAGATGCTCTTTTCCGGCTTTTTTAAAAGCCGGAAAAAAGCGGCGGACATTTTTATTTAAATGCCGCGGGGGATATTTAAATCCCCCGCGGATTTCCCTACGACGACTCGTGAAATTTACATGCCCCTTCCGGAAGAGGGGCCAGTGTAGACATAGCCCCTCCGGAAAAGGGCGCTTTTTCCGGAGGATCGGGGCCAGTCTAGATGCTCTTTTCCGGCTTTTTTAAAAGCCGGAAAAAAGCGGCGGACATTTTTATTTAAATGCCGCGGGGGATATTTAAATCCCCCGCGGATTTCCCTACGACGACTCGTGAAATTTACATGCCCCTTCCGGAAGAGGGGCCAGTGTAGACATAGCCTCTGTGTATATCTGGCCCAAGTTTTGTTTAAGCTAAATTCTACAAAATTACTTAGGAAAAGAAGTAAGTTCATCCAGATCTTCCTATACATAACTGAAACAAGACATAACAAACGAGGCACTTCAGAGAATGAGCTAATAAGAAATTCCATACAAAAATGACAAAGATCACATTATTAAGTCCTAGTAATTCAGGAAAAATAACTCTTTCCATTCACATATAGGTTATTAAGTTTTTAAAATGTAATCACACACTATTTTTCAAACAACAACCAAAACATTTGTACTTGTTGAGCCTCCCTGGTCTGGCAACATCCGTGGACTGATATGATTTTAGTTAGCTTATAATTGAGTGTGGCCAAGTTTCCTGTGGTCCCAGCTCTCAGTATTCTATGCTGTTATTTAACTTTAATTTACCCCTAAATGTCTTCTAAGAGCCCAGCAAGGAGGTAATGGTAATGCTCCTAAGTGTAAGCACAATTTTTATGCTTTATCTACTTATTTCCTTGTGTTAATACAGTAAAATTGTGTAACGCTAACATTTTGTTATGAAGAGCACTGATAAGGGTTGGCTAGGTGTAGGCTTATATAGGGTGTATCAGTACAGTTATACATTATTAAGCAGCACTGCAAGCATTGTTCCATTTATTCATCTCAGCAAAATAAAAATAAAAAGAGAGAACCACTTGCTATGATATTGACCTTCCATGGTTCAGCAAATTCTTTGGTTCAGCATCCATCTGGTCCCGATGGTGCTGGACTAGAGAGGTTCAACCCATACAATTTTAAAGACATATCTATTTCAAATGTTGTTTGTATATTCTAATTTTGTAATCAATGTCAGATTAAGTTTATTGAAATATGACAAAATTCCCAGAACTGATAATCACATGCAATTTCCATTAAATTAAATGTTGGATGGTGTTACTCTCTGACTCAAGATTTGGACAAGTACTTTATTATAATAAATCTTTTTCCTGCAAGTTTTTATATTTTTTTCTCAGCCCTCATTCATGTTCTATAAATTTAGAGAGATATTTTCTCCATTTACAAACACATCCTAATATTATTAATTACTATCCAGCTATGTTTTTGGAAGCCAGAAAGCAGGTAATGTGTCTCTCCTGTGCTTACATTCCCCGTGCTCACCCCCACACCCAAGCAACAAGGTGAAAAAATCTGTCTGATTAAAATGCAAAGGAGACAAGAAACAAACTTGAGCGGAGGGAAAGTAGATTCAGATAAGGAGCACTGGGACTGAATGGGCTAGATTACTGGGACTGGTGGCTTTGTGGACAAGACAGGGAAAAGAGATGAAAAACCAAAGGTGAAAAGGGGAGACACATGCATGCAGGGAACTTGGGACTGGTTATTCAAAAAGACTGGGACAAAACTCTGGGAACCAATGAGTATAGAGAGGGAAAGTTGGAGCCAGTGGGGAAGGGGACTGTTGGCATTGGGGGTGAAAGAGAGAGAGAGAGAGAGAGAGACTGGAAAAGGAGCCAAGAGGACAAAATTGTCACTGAGAGCAAGGAGAAAAGACTGGGACTGGAACAGGGAGTACAAAGGGGAAGACCAAGACCGGCTGGACAAGGAGATGGTCATGGCTGAGAGGGTTGAGGAGTAGAGATTGAATATTCCTCAGATGGCTGCAAAAGATACTGTAATCACGTGTCCTCAGCACAATGTTGAACATCCTTTCAACTGGAGTAGCACAACAGTACTTTCTGGGCAGAGCTTATTTATAAGAAACTGCTGCTGGATGAAGACGATGGCTCATTCAAGATGGTACTCGGTCCTGCCATGAGGATAGGGAACTGGACTTGATGACTTCTCAGGGTCCCTTCCAGTTCTAGTGTTCTATGATTTTATGGTTCTCTCAGACTTAGAAGCAAGGAGGTGAGATGCAAGCTACTTTCCTTCCCCTCTTGCCAACTAGGTTTATATGACACAATAAAAACTGCAGTGCCCTATCTAAAAACAGTACTTCCATTGGTGGAGCTGCAAACCAATAGTGAGGACAAACGCTACTGTTCAGAAAGGCTTAGTACCATTAAAGGATGCAACTGCACATTTTTCAGAATCTGTGTCAGAATCAAGACTATTTTCACAAACCATTCTGTATCCCCACTCGACTTGTTCCCAGGAAAAGATGTGTACATTAGTAGGGTGTGGGAATACAGAAGAATCATCAGCTGACACACA